CTCAGCCTCTGGGGGGGGTGCCGGGGTGGCTCTGCCGTGGAAGGGGGGGTGGGGGGTGGGGGGGGTGCGAGTTTCCGGCGGATGCGTTTTTTGACACCCCTCACAAGGATCGTGGCCTCCGAAGGGGGTTCCGAACTCGAGTACCACCCCTCCCGCACCAAGAGGCTCCGAGGAGGCCTCCAAGAGGCCCCAAGGGGCGCAGAAGAGGCCCCCAAGAAGCCCCAAGAGGCTCCCAAGAGACCCCCAAGAGGCCCTCTAGTGGCCCCAAGAGGCCCAAGAGGCCCCCAAGAAGCCCCAAGAGGCGCCCAAGAGGCCCCCAGAAGTCCCAGCCAACCACGAGATCCCAACCAGCATCCATGAGGCCTCTGACCCACCACCCACTCACGGTGGCGGGATAGGCCGACGGCCACTGGATCCGCCGCCCCCTGCTTGCAGGGGTGCACGGCGTGCTGGACGTTTCAGGTTTTGGTTTTGGTTCTTTTTCTAAAAGAACTCCCCAGTGGGCTTCGGCCCGTCCCGCCGGCCACCCGCAAATTTCCCAAAACCCATCCCTCAATGCCCCAAAAACGGCCGTTTCGCTCGGGACATCCTCAACAAATCGCGAAGATGGCCCAAGATGGCCTCCAAGTCCGCCCGAGATGGTCCAAGACGGCCTCCAAAACGGCCCAAGAGAGTCCAAGACGGCCCAAGACGGCCCAAGAGGCCCCCCCAGAGGCCTCCCAGACGGCCCAAGAGGCCTCCAAGAGGTCCTCCAGGAGAGTCCGAAGAGGCCAAAATCATTGATTTTCCCTTGGTGTTTGAAGGATTTTGGCATTTGCGCCTTTTCGGCTCTCCGACGGCTCAAGACGGCCCAAGAAGCCCCCAAGATCGCCCAAGAGGCCCCCAAGAGAGCCCCATGATGCCCAAGTGGCCTCCAAGATGGCCCCTAGAGGGCCCCAAGAGGGCCTCCAAGATGGCCCCTAGAGGGCCCCAAGAGGGCCCAAGAGGCCTCCAACACGCCCAAGATGGCCTCCAATACGCCCAAGATGGCCTCCAAGACGGCCCTGGAGCATTCCAAGCGGGCCCCAAGTCGGCCCATAGAGGCCCCCCAAACGGCTTCCGACGGCTTCAGACGTGCCAGGAACCCACCAAGATGGCCGAAGTTGGCTCGAAGCTGGCCCGAGACGGCCAAAAAAGCCCCAAAGATCGCCCACAGCTTGCCCAAGAGGCCTCCAAGACGGCCAAGATGACCTTCAAGATGCCCACGTGTTCCCCGAAGGCTTTCCAAACCGATTCGGGGAACACGTGGTCCGATAGCTTGGCAGGTCTGGCCTCAACGTTCGGCCACATAGGCGCTTCCAAAAAGGCAGGGGGCGGCGGTGATTCGCCGTAGGCGTCTTCGATAAATGCTGAGTGAGAGGAGGGGAGGGAGAAAGAGAGGAGGGACGAGGGCGAAGAAGGATCACATCACTCGGAGCGCCCCGGATCGGCGGCACTGGCCGAAGGCCACTACAATACATATATATATATATATATGTGTTCGTGCCTTGCTCACGATAAGTGGGTCCATCTGCAATGTCATTCAACGCTGCTTCCAAGTATTTCATTTAAAATGGCAGTTTCTACATGTGTGTCTTTCTCATCTGCCGTCTGAGTCGCGTGCGCTCTGTGCAGAATTCTTAGGGGGTGGGGGGCTCCTGGACGTCCAATGCGGCCGCCGTACTCGGCAGCCGCCGCGGCCATCCCTGGATCAAGAAGAGAACGAGTGCGAAAAGAAAAAATAATGTCGGAATGTGCTGCCTGTGCTTCTCCCGTGGAAGTCGGTTCCAGGACGAATCCCAGGCCGGTGTTTCTGGCCCTGGATCTGTCGGCGGGCAGTTTGTGCGAGTGGGTCGGGCGGAAGCAAAATCCGAAGCCCCTCGCGCCGATTGAGGGGGAGGAGGTGGGGGAGGAGGAGGAGGAGGAGGAGGAGGAGGAGGAGGAGGAGGAGGAAGAGAAAGAGGAGTAGGAAGAGGAAGGAGGTCGGAGGAGGAAGGAGGAGAGGGAAGGAGGATAGGAGTAGAGGAGGATGAGAAGGATGATAGGAGGAGAGGCGGGATGGGGAACATTAAGCAGAGCGGCGCTCAGATTCAGGTTGCTGCTAGCCATCGTTTGCATCCCCTAGCAAATTCGCATTGTGTGTTGTATCGAGGTCCACTCTAGGTTTAGGTCGGGCATGTCCTCCTTCAGGCGGAGTTCGGGTAAAATAAATAATCAACAAATGCCCAAACTAATCAAAAACAGTCGAACAATTGTCCCCTGACTATTTTTCGACTGTTCTGGAAGATTCCTCCTGTAGGGGGACGCGCCCGACTTAAGGCGAATCATCGCTTGCATCACACAGCAAATTCGCATTGCATGCTGCATGTTGCATGAAGTAGGAAGGCGTTTAAAGTAGATTGGGTTCCGTCCGCCCCCTAAGGCAAGACGAAAAAGGTGAAGCCACTCGATCCTTGAAGTAGGAAGGCACTTAAAATAGATTAGAATCTGGGAATCCAGAAATACCTGTGTGAGGGGCTTCTCCGTTCGCGTCGTGCTTTCTTTCCTGCTCGCCTTTCTCTAGCCGCATCCAGCTTCCACTCACCGTTCTCCCGCTCTCCGTCAACAGAGTCCTCTTCCTTGCACATGCCGTGCCAAGGAATTGATTGAACGTCGTCAATACTTCGAAAGGCCTTCCCTTTTCCCTTCCCCGGTGCGGGGGGGGGGGGGGGGATGGACCCGGGGGGTCCGGGGGGGACCCGGGGCCCCCCCCCCCAGATCCGACTCCCCCGGCAGCCTTCGAGAAAGCCCGGAGGGCGTCGCGAGGAGGTTCTCGTCCTCATCCTCCTCCCCCTTCTCCTCCTCTTCCTCCTCCTCCTCCTCCTCCTCCTCCTGCTACATCCTCCCCCTCCTCCTTCTCTCATCATCATCATCATCATCATCATCATCATCATCATCATCATCATCATCATCATCATCATCATCATCATCATCATCATCAAACATCATCATCATCATCATCATCAACATCATCTCATCATCATCATCATCATCATCATCATCATCATCATCATCATCACTCATCAAACATCTCCATCCTCATCCTCATCCTCAACCTCCTCATCCCATCCTCATCCTCATGCCTCATCATCCTCATCCTCAACATCCTCATCATCCTCATCATCCTTGTCCTCTTTCTCCTACTCCTTGCTCCTTCTCACCTCCTCCAACCTCCTCCTCCTATCTCTTCACCTGCGAATCCTCCCGCTCCTCCTCCTCCTCTCTCCCTTCCTCTCCACCTCCTCCTCCTCCACCTCCTCCACCTCCTCCTCCTACATCCTCCTTTCCCCCCCGCCTCCCTCCTCCCCACCTCCCCCTCCTCCTTCTCCTCCTCCTCCTCCTCCCCCTCCTCCTCCTCCTCCTCCTCCTCCTCCTCCTCCTCCTCCTCCTCCTCCTCCTCGTCCTCCCTCTTCCCCCTCCTCCTCCTCGTCCTCGTGCTCGTCCCTGTCCTCCTCCTCCTCCTCGTCATCCTCCTCTTCCTCCTCCTCCTCCTTCGCTTCCTCCTCCCCCTCCGAACCCCTTCGATCAGGGTCGGCGGCACCAGCCGTCAGGCCTCTCCAATACCTGCTTTCAACGACCGAGGTGTATCGATATCCACTCTAGCCCCCCCTCGCGCACACCCCCCTGTGCTCCCCCCCCCCCCCAGAAAGGAGGAGAACTCTGGCCGCACGGTGCACAGAGTGCGGGCATTCGCCCCAGCGAATCGAAGGGGTGGTGGGCAGCACCTGCAGGGGGGATCCAAACAGGGGGGCGCCGGGAGGGAAGCTTCGCTACCCATCGGTCGGAAGAAGTAGGCAAAAGCACGACATTGGAAGGCGTTTATATATATATATATATACATATATATATATATATATTTAAGCACGACATTGGAAGGCGTTGAGAATAGGCTGGGCGCCCGCCCGCCCCCCAAGGGAGGACGGACACTCGAGCATTGAGGCAGTAAGGCGCTTGAAGCAGATTGGAATCTGGGAGTCCAGAAACTGCCTCCTCTTCCTCCTCCTCCCTCCTCCTCCTCCTCTTCCTCCTCCTCCTCCCCCTCCCCCCCTCCTCCTCCCTTCCTCCTCCACCTCCTCCTCCTCCTCACCTCCTCCTCCTCCTCCTCCTCCTCCTCTTCGTCCTCCTCCTCCTCCTCCTCCTCCTGTCAACGACCGGTGGGTACCGGCCTCTGAGGAGCTCAGAACTTAGTCCCCAGCCAGGGTGGATGATCGGGGCCGCGGTGGTGCTTGTCGGCCGTGCGGCCGGGCGGCACAGAAACATGGCCAGTTCTGCTTTTGAGCCGTAAGCCCCAACCTTGTGCCCCCCCCCCAAAAATGAAGGGGCCCCAGCACACACAAATAAATACACACAAATAAAAAGATTCCCCATATTTTCCCATATTGTCTGGGTTTTTGTCTTCCCCACCACTTCCCATATTTTCCTGTAATTTCGACGATTGGTTTTGTCTGTGTGTTGCTTCCCCTCCTGACAAAAAATGGGGGCGCCCCGGGCGGCGCTACGGAGCATGACGCTTCCTCCTGCCGAGTCGATCCGATGCTCGCCCCTCGCTGCCCCCTCTCCCACACTCCCCCCCGTCCACCCCTCCCCTAAAACGGCGCGAAGATCGGGACAAAATCGGATCGGGGTAACTCGAGATCTCTGAGAAGCGGCGGGCTTGGAGGATGTATTGTGGGCGCCGCGGCCGCTCCAGAGCGCTCCGGAACGCTCCGAGGGCGCTCCGGAACGCTCTGGAGCGATTTATCCCGATCCTAGCCCTGTTTTACCCTGACCTTCCAGAGAGCTATTTTTTAGCACTGGAGACCTAAAAACCTAAAAAGATGAGCGAAACAGCCTAAAACCAAGACGTAGAATAGCTTTGGGATAGGTTTTTAAGTCGGGTGCTATTTTTTAGCCCTCCTGGAAGGTCAGGGTATCCTTCCCCCCTCGCCCCAGAGTCCTCGGGCGTGACACAGTCCACGAACTGCTGCTCGCTGAAGTCGACCAGGAGCCCGGTGCCTCCGACATCGGTGCCGTCGTCGCCGCCGCCGGCGCAACGACGTCGTCTTCGGCTTCGGCCGCTGCCGAAGGCGCTCGGACGATCGATCGAGGCTGCTTCTCCTCCTCCTCCTCCTCCTCCTCCTCCTCCTCCTCCCTCTCCTCCTCCTCCTCCTCCTCCTCCTCCTCCTCCTCCTCCTCCTCCTCCTCCTCCTCCTCCTCCTCCGCATCATTCTCATCCTTCTCATCCTTCTCATCTTCATCCTCCTCCTCTCCTCTTCCTCCTCCTCCTCCTCGCGGTTCGATGGTCGAGGCTTCGCTGCCGTCGCCTTCCGCCGGTCGCTCGACCTGCAGGACTCCTCGTCGCCCCGGCAGGCTGCTCACCGGAACGCCCCGGTCGGAACGCACCCCAGGGGAGGCCCAGGGGGCGACCTTCGTGGGCCAGCCCGTCGTGGAGGTCTGCCTTCGTCCTCGCCCGCGAGTCGAGGCGCTGACCTGCCTCGTCGTCGCCGTCGCCGGCGCTGGCGGCGACGCCTGCGCCCCGGAGGTGCTCGGGCGCTGCCGGAGGCTCCGGGATCGCCCCGGCTGGACGCGCGGGCCATCGGGGGAGGGTCCGGGGGCCGGTCTCGAGCGGGATTTTTGATCGATCGGCGGCGTCGTCGTCGAAGTCCACCGAGGAAGCTCAGGTCTCGCGGGCCGTGCCACTCGCCCACTCGAGACAGGACTGTGCTGTCGGGGGCGGGAAAGGTTCGGGAGGTCACGCCGTGACGCCACCCCGGCGGCGCGCTCTGGCGCAGGCCAGCCAAAGGAAATCGAGATTTCACGACACAGGGCTTTGGCTCGCCATGGGCGCGTGCGGTGCGGTTCCGCGCGACGGCTCGTCAAAAACTAGATGCTGCTCCACAGCTACGACTTGCGGGGTAAAAAAAATGATCTCGCGACGATCTACCATTCGCCACGGAAGTGTGTACCGTCTTGTGCGTAGCGGGCTGTTGCGTCACTCAGACATCCTGAGTAACCCACTGTGCACTCAGGAAGTTGGCAGCAGGATCAGTCGTCAAGCCCACCGAGCGAGACGGTCCTGAAGCATCGCTCATGTTCAAATACTGGTCTGTCTTATACTTGTTCTGGTACTTGAAGGCTCCGCTCGTACTGACGTTGGAGTCTGGCTTCCACAACATACTATCGTACGATTCATTGTACTCGGTCAGCGCCACGCCAGGGGGATTCTCCACCAAATTCAGAAACTTCTTGGTCCACTGATTTTGGATCCTCTGGTAGCCGTCACCCGCATCATAAACCCACCACATCATGCTGGTCCACTCTCTAGACTGCGAATCCAAGATGTAGCACTGCACTTCGCACTGTTTGGGGTCGTTTGCGGCATTCAGGTAATAAGTCCCGTCATCTGTCCACGCACATTGCAACCTGCAACTGACACCCCCTGTAGCAACAAAAGGTTCAATGACCCACTGTGCACTCAGGAAGTTGGCAGCCGGATCAGTCGTCAAGCCCACCGAGCGAGACGGTCCTGAACCATCGCTCATGTTCAAATACTGGTCTGTCTTATACTTGTTCTGGTACTTGAAGGCTCCGCTCGTACTGACGTTGGAGTCTGGCTTCCACAACATACTATCGTACGATTCATTGTACTCGGTCAGCGCCACGCCAGTGTGATCCTCCACCCAATTCAGATACTTCCCAGTCCATTGGTTCTGGATCCTCTTGAAGCCATTACCGGCGTCGTGAATAAACCACTTCTCACTGCTCCATGTTGATTCCATGGTGTAGCACTGCACTTCGCGCTGATTGGGGTCGTTTGCGGCATTCAGGTAATAAGCCCCTTCGTCTTTCCAAGCACACCTAAGCCTGCAAGCGACTGGCTCCTCGACTGGCGCACCGCGGCTGACTAGTAGCTGCAACTTTTTCGATTTCGGTTTCTTCTTCATCTCAGCCAATATATCTGCAGAGACGCCCTTCACGCCGTTCACAGCCATGATGAAGTCGCCCTCCTTTAAAGCCTTGTCTGGGTGAGCCTTGTTGTGTTTGCCCACGCTGCCATCCTTGACCCCCTTGATCTTCAGATATTTTGATTCGTGGTGACCGATGTCCAGACCAATTGTGCCACTCGCGTGTGCAACTTCCACTTCGAAAGTCTCTGGTAACTTTGCCCAAGACTTCTTCACTTCTTCCTCGGAGACTGGACCCTGCGGAGGGACCTCGGCATCGGCATCAGTGGCCCGCGTGTCGGTGCAGCAGCTAAACATCGCGCTGCCGCAGGAAGGGCGAGAGATATACTGTTGCCCTGAAGCGAAGGTGCAGAGTTCCCCCTGCCTTCGCGCAGTCCCTCTAAGCAGCTCGAGCCAAAAGAGTCAGAGTCAATGGCTGCGGACTCGAAGTCTACCGAGAAGGAGCCGGAGGAAGGCGAAAGGAAGGCGGAAGAGGACCCTCTGATCCGGGCGCCGTGGAGGAATCACAACAAATGCCTGGGGCCCGATCCTGGGCCCTGGGCATCCCTCGCGGGCCGACATGATCCGAGAGACTCCGCAGAAAGATGGGGTCGAGAGCCGCGGCCGTCATTTTTACGCGACGCTGGGAGTTCGTTCCTATGTTCGGGAGCGGCCGAGAGAAGGGTGTCCACGACGAAGGGTGCAAATCATGACCGGCGGCACGTGCGCGGCCCAACGGGGGGGCCAGGGACGTAACGCCCGAAATGGGTACAGAAAAAATGGGTACAATGCCCAACAGCAATGTTGTCCCAAACCAACAGCTAGGAGCCAGAAAACACACACACACCATCTCCCAGGCTACGACGGCGAAGTCCTCTGGTACAGGGCAGTTCGTGCGTGCATCCGTGGGCCCCGCGCTGTGCGAGACTCGGCGGAGCTGGGAGCTTTGCAGTGCCTGTGGACAGGTGCCATGTGGACACGAGAGAGAAAGTTCCGCCATAGCTTCATTTCGTCGCCTAATTGTCTTGCTTGCTCGGCCATGAGACCCGAGACCCTCGGGCATCGGTGGCTCGACTGCCCCGCGTTGCTTGAAGGCACCGAGGCGGACCCGTTGGACGAGGATACGCGTGAGCACAAGCGTAGGGTCGCTACGCGGGAGCTGATGCGCAAGGAAGTGCTTGAGTCCGCGGATCCCACGTTCTTTGATTCAGTCCAGCACGCTTTCGCGATGCCGCTGGTCCCACCTAGCTCTGAGAGGCCCGACAGAACTCCTGAGCAAATTTTTGAGTGGGGTGATCCTGAGGTTCCCTGGGAAGGCACGGTCTACACGGACGAGGCTGGCCAGGATATGCAAGTTCCCGAAGTTGCGCGGTGTGCCTGGGCGATTGTCCAGCTGGATTCCCAGGGCCGCCCGTCCAAGGCCAGGTTTGGAAGCCTCCCAGGGATCCAGTCGGTGCCCAGAGCTGCCAGGTATGCAGGATACCAAGCCATTCTCGCTTCGCGGCGTGTAACTAGAATCGTGAGCGATCACCTTTCCCTAGTCCAAGAGGGCGAGCGCTGGAGCGAGAGCGAGGTTTCGGCCGCCGCTCGCCACGCCGAGATTTGGCGAGCCATAAGAGCCACGGTTGAGCGGCAGGCCCGACCCCCGCCCCGCTTTGCCTGGACCCCGTCTCACAAAACGGCTGAAGAGGCGCTTAGTCGGGGATTGGGGGTGATGGCCTGGCTGGGGAACGCGTGGGCGGATTTCTTTGCCACTGTGGCGTTGCACGTTGTCACGATCAGCCCCAGTTTCGGTAAAGGCCTGGAACTGCGCCTCGCCGAGGCTGTCAATCGTGCCAGGTTTGTAGCTTGGGCAGGCAAGCGAATGCTGAGCTCGGGACGGTGGGATGGCCCCAAGGACGAGCCCCGTGCACGTAAGCCCCCGCCAAAGCCACCCAGCCTTGCCATTGTTTCTCACGATCTGGCGCCCGATGGAACAGGTTTCAGGTGCAGGAATTGTAACAGAGCAGGGCTTTCGGAAGAGACGATCCGCGGTCTGTTGACCCGCCCCTGTCGGCCTTCCGCCCTGCTCCGAGTTAGAGCCGCGGCCCTTTTGGCGATGAACAGCTCGTCCAGAGCCGAGGAGAACTCTGCTCCCCCCTCGTCTCAGGCTGCCCTGGCCCTGGGTCTGGCGGCCGCGGCAACGGGTGCTGCGACCGCGCGTCGCGACGACTCCCGCGTGTCGCAGGGAAGGCCTGAGCAAGGGCGTGAAGATAGCAGGTCTCCCCGCCGCGAGGGCCGTGCCGCCCCTGCTGCGCGCTCTACCACGGCGAGAGATGGAGGCGGGGGAGGCCCTTCGTTGTCGTCGTCGGAGAGGCGGAGGTGGGATTCGACCGAAGAGCGGCTAGCCGCGTGCACGGCTCGCCTCCTCAGAGCTGCAGAAGGCACACCTGACACTCTTGCCTCCGTCGCCTCGCCTCCCTCTCCTGCGCCACCCTCGGGAGGATTGCTGGAGGCCCCCCTGGAAGTGCAGGTTGCAGGCGTGTTGCGAGAGGGCGACACGACGTGCGAGGAGGCTAGGAGGGCGGGTAATCGTGTGATGCGTACCCGTGAGATGCGCCCTGCCGCTTGCCCCTCGCCCGCAACGGCGCCTGGAGCGGCGCAGCCTGTGGCCGCCGCCCCCGCTGCCCTGCAGATGCAGGGCCAGGACTCCCGAGCTGCCGCCGCCGCTGCTATCGCCGTGGGGACGGGTGGGCGTGGGGAGCGTGATGAGGAGGTCTCGAGTGTGCTTGGGCACGAGATCATCCTGCGCCCGCCTTTCACGGTCTGTCAGAGATGCGGTGCGTACGCCAAGCGGCAAGGGCGGCTTTTGGGAGCCCCCTGCCTTGGTGTCTTCCCCGCCCCTGCGCTGTGCGCCAACCCCGCGGAGCGGGAAAGGGCCAAGCGCGGAGTGGCGAAGCTCCACCCCGTGACTGGAGCCCCCCTCGCCGCTGGTCTGGTTTAGACCCCAGGTCCTCTGGTCGCGGGCGAGGCGTGCAGGCTCTGCCTGCCTCTGGTGCGGTCTGGCGACCGCCTCTTTGCTCTGGCCCCCCTTTGGGGTCTGTAGAGTTGCCCTGCAGGCTCGGCCTGCTCTTGCGCGCGGTCTGGGGACCGTGTACTGTGCTCTTGGAGCCTGGAGTGGCCCCAAGTGCCCTCGGCCCTAGTAGCCCGTCACAAGTACAGGGCCGTGTTCGACCACGGACGCGGTCTCCTTGACGAGCGACACAGACAGGAATTTCACACAAAGGGTTTTGGCACCACCAACGGCGCAACGCATGTGCGCACATGCCACTGGATCCCCAGCCATCCGAGCCAGGGTTGACGCACGGCCGTGCTCTAGGATGCAGTTGACATGTATGGTGTGGCAAGGCTGTCGGCGGAGACGAGATCCCAAGATCCGCTACCAACAAACACTCCATTGTGGTTTGGCACAGCCAAACCACCGTGCAACGTCAGTTTGTTCATCCGTTGACAGCAGCACGCGTGGCGGCAGCTGAACGCAATAGCGCGCGTGGGCATGCAGGGCCGGCGATGCGGCTGGCCAGCTGCCAGCGCGACTTTGGCAGAAGAGCCGAAATCCACGTAGGATCGTTTTGGGCGTGGTACCCGGCGCAGCTGCATCGCACTTCCAGGCGCCGCGGCCTTGCGACTGTAGCACCAGACCCCGCGCGTTCCTCGAGGCGGGAAAGCAAACTCTACACAAAGGAATCGCGCGTGCTCTTGTGGGGGCGGCGAAAACGATCGTACACAAATGAAATTCCTTTGTGTGCCCCCCGCGTTGGCAGTGTAACCGGACCGCACACAAAGGAATTGCACGAGACTTCGTGGCACACGAAGGAATTACAGCAACGCCCTTTGGGTTGCGCTCTTCGCGCGCGGTGACAGCTCCGAACTGGAAAGGAAGGGGGGGCGGGACAAGGCACAGCAGGGGAAGAGGAAAAAGAAGAGGAGGGCGAGAAAGAAGCGAAAGAAGCAACGGAAGGAAGCCAGGATGCGCGCAAGCGAAGCCAGCACTGCGCGCCGAGACAATTGTTCGTTCGTTCGGTTGGCCGTGCGGCAGATAAATAGAAAAATAATTGTTTGCTGCCTATCGAAGGGACTTCTTGGGAATGAGACTCGCGCTCTCTTCCCAACCCCCTTTCCCACACCACGTTGCAAGCGCGCGACGATTTGTTCTGGCCCGAAGGCAAAGGACTGCCAGTTGCTGGCGAGCGCCCTTTCCACCCGTCACGCGTTCCGAACACATGCGACCAGCTAAACGCACTTGCCGCGCAAACCGCCAGCTCCAAACACCGACGCCACCCCGATCCCCGCATCCGTGCCAGGCACCCTCTCAACGACGCCCCCTTCCGGCGTAAAACCAATAACACCCTTTGTGTTTGTGTGTTTCTTCCTGTTCTGAACAGCGGCCGCTGTTGGGCAGGCGGCCTTCTGTCTCGAATGGACACAGGCCGCGGCGGCGTGGACAGCGAGTCCTGTTAAGATAAACTGGAACTGCTGTTGGGCTTCGCACCCCTCTCTCCGTACCCACTTCGTTCGTGCAGAACTTTGCGCACCAGTGCGCGGCGCGCAGTCCTCCTCGCGCCCTCGCGCCCTCGCGCCGCCCGCGCCGGGGAAGGGCGGCGGCTGCTGCCAGGACCGCGTCCTCTCCGCTCCCCTGGGGGGGCGCCCTGGCTGCTCACGGCGTGGGGCATCGGGGAAGGTGCTGGCGTGGAGGGGGCAGCAGCTTTGAGGGGGCGGGTTGTTGGGCTCCTGGGCACGCTCCATCCCGGCTCGTTTTCTGACAGCCCTGGGGCCAAGGCGTGGCCCCAGGAGGCAGCAATAGCACTACCAGATTGCCTCATGGCGCCCCTAGGAAATCGTCCCCTGGATCTCTCCGAGGATGCGTTCCGAAACGAATGTCGACTGGAATCCACCCGTGAAGACGAGGAGAGTCCCCCGTAGGCCCGAACAAAAATGGAAAACGTCCAGAAGCCTCGATCCTCGAACCTCGATCCTCGAGCCTCGGGTGATCCCTCCCCCCTGGGGGGGTCTCCAGATGTGCTCAGGTCTCCAGATGCCCACAGCTCATACAAATTCGAAAAGGGATAGCTTGAGTTCTTACAAAGTTCTAACGAGCCAGGACCACGGATTTTCCAGAATTCTTGGGCTCTCTTGGGCGGGCGGCGTTTCTCGCGTGGGCCTCCGAAAACCAAACCAGCCCAAACCGACTTCAACGTTCCCCCCCGTCGCCATCCAAGAAACGCGCTAAGTAGGAGCTCCCGGTAGCCCCAAAGGACCTTTCTGGGGCTCTCTTGCGGGCCTCTTGGGCCCTCTTGAAGGCCCTCGGGGCCAGCCAATCATACCAACACCAATATCAACAAAGCATGATCTTGTTGTATGAGTTTCGCGTACTTGGCTGTGGTGCTCTTAGGGCGTCCACGACGGCCAAAGAGACCCCAGACTCGCCCACAAAAGCCGACGATGCCCTCATGAGTTGCTCAGGAAGCTCCCAAGAGACCCCCAAGAGGGGCCCATGAGGAAAACTCGAACTAGCAGGCTCCAAGAGGCCCCCAAGGGTGCCCCGACAGAGCCCACAGAGGCCTCCAAGAGGCCCCAAAAATGCTCCCTGGAGGGCAAAGAGACCCCCAGGACCCAAAGAGGTCTCCAAGAGGCCTCCAACAGGCCTCTTCTCCACGACCCAGGAAGGGTGGCGGGATGGGCGGAATGCCACTCGTGAGCAAGAACGCTCAAAAAGCTCAACCCTCCTCCGCCTCCCACATCTCCTCGTCCTTCTCGTCCTCCTCGTCCTCGTCCTCGTCCTCGTCCTCGCCCTCGCCCTCCTCCTCCTCCTCCTCCTCCTCCTCCTCCTCCTCCTCCTCCTCCTCCTCCTCCTCCTCCTCCTCCTCCTCCTCTGTCCTCCTCCGCCAATTCCACTCATCCTCCTCCACCACCTCCGCCCTCCTCGCTGCCTCCGCCTCCAGTCCCCTCGTCTCCTCCTCCCCCCTCCTCTCCTGCCTCCCCTCTCTCTTTCCTCTCCTCCTCCCTCCTTCCTCCCTCCTCCTCCTCCTCCCTCCTGCCTCCTCCTCCTCCCCTCCCCCCTCCTTCTCTTCTGGCCTCATCCTTCCTCTTGCCGTCCTCCTCCTCCTCCCCTCCTCCTCCTCCTCCCCTCCTCCTCCTCCTTCCTCCGCCTCCTCCTCCTCCTCCTCCGCTTTGCCTCCTCCTCCTCCTCCTCCTCCACAAAACAAGTTGGACCCTCGGTCCTCCCCTCCCCCTCCTCCTCCTCCTCCTCCTCCTCCTCCCTCCTCCTCCTCGCCTCCTCCATCCTCCTCCCCCTCCTCCTCCTCCTCCTGTCCTCCTCCTCCTCCTCCTCCTCCTCCTCCTCCTCCTCCTCCCTCCCTCCTCCTCCATCCTGCCTCCTCCTCCGCCTGACTCCTCCTCCTCCTCCTCCTCCTCCTCCTCTCTCTCTTCTCTCTCTCTCTCTCTCTCCTCTCTTCGTCTCCTGCTCCCTTCCTCGCTTCCTCTCCCTCCCTCGCTGCCTCCCATCCCTCACTTCCCCCTTCTGCTGCTCCTGCTCATGTTTATAGTCTGCTGCTGCCTGCTGAGGAGGAAAGAGGTTCATAGTAGGCGGAGTACGTAGGAGGAGGCTGTGATTAGGATGCAGGGAGACAGCAGTAGATGTCATGCGGGGGAGAGGGAGGAGGAGGAGGAGGAGGAGGAGGAGGAGGAGGAGGAGGAGGAGGAGGAGGAGGAGGCCCCGAAATACTGAAAGACGCACAGAACCCCTTCGAAGATCGACCCCCAAACCTCCTCAGTACTCGAATCTCGATCTGTGAACCCTCGAGCCCTCGAACCTCCGTTTTCCCCCCACCTCCCTCCCCTCCCTCTACCCTCGAACCTCGAACCATCGAGCCTCGCTCCTCATCCTCCTCATCCTCCTCCAGAATTACACCATATGTATACTACTCTCCTCCCTCCCCATGATGACTTCCTGAAGATGTTCGGCCCTCTTCCACGTACTGTTTTGTTACGTAAACACCGGATTCCCGGGAGTTGGGTTTTCGCTTGGGTTTGTTCCCCAACATGCTGATCCCGCTGAAGCGCTGGCCTCATGTTCGCACTTCCGCTCGTTCCGAATCATGCTCCCGCTGCAGCGCTGGCCTCATTTCCGCGCTTCTGCTCGTTCCGAATCGTGCTCCCGCTGCAGCGCTGGCGTCATTGTCCAGTGCCATGCCACGGCATGCAAGGCAATGCTATGATCTGCCTTCAGCTGCAATGCTAGCATATGCAGTGCTTGACTACGCAGTGCCACGCCATGCTATGCCATGCTACGCTTTGAGCTTCAACGTCATGCTATGCCATTTTCTGTTCTGTGCCGCTGTGCGATGCCATTGTTTGCGTTGCAATGCTTTGTGATGCAATTCTTCACTACGCAACGCCAAGCCATGCTATGACATACTACGCTCTGCCTTGCCCTTCTACGCCTTCTATGCCGTGCTCTACGATGCATCGCGCACTCTCTCGGGTTCATTGCCCTGCTCGGCATCCGACTGCGAATAGAAAAGAGATCTTCGCCGTGGTAAGGGATGGGAGGGAGGGGTAGGACGTCAGATATGACGCGAGCACACCTAGCTTGTTCTCCTCCCCCACCCTCTCCTCCCTCGTAGTCAGTCGAATCTCGATCATCGAACCCTCGAGCCTCCCCCCCTACTTCCCCCTGCCCCGGTGCCAATCTGCCAAGCGCCCTCCAGCGCCCCCGCGGTGGCGAACGCCCAACAGGCGCCGCAGTGCCCCTGGCCAGGCTTCGGCGGGGGGGGATGCACATCAGGAATAAGCGGCCTGGAAACATGAGAAATACCAGAGCAGCCTGCAGACCACACCCAAAGACATTATAATAACGCAAACGCTCAGGGCATCAAGGCACAGAAAGGCTCGCAAGACTCACCCAAACCAACATGAGAGATCACAAGACAAGCATTCGCAACTCGCGGGAAATGTAACTCAACACTTCCAGACAAGCACTCGCATTCTAGCAGAAATTACCCTGGCGACGTACCCAACCCCTGCGCAAACGCGGGGCGCAAATAGTTTAGGACACTTTATAAAGGGGGCGATGACAGAACGATGGTTACATATGTCTGCAGACGGAATTCGGGACACTCGCAGGACACTGGCTACAGGACAAGGACTAGATAAAGCTGATTAGTTACAATCCCTGAGCAACCCTAGCCATTTCGAAGGCGGGGATCTCAGATCGCAGCCCCCCAGGGATGGCGAGGTCTAAGTTGGGTCCGCGCGTGGCGACACTGTGCTGGGCCCCCCAGCAGGCCTCGAAAGTGGCGACAGTTTCACAGATCGCAGCCCCCCAGGGATGGCGAGGCCTAACTTGAATTTGCGTGTGGCGTCACTGTGCTGGGCCCCCCAGCAGGCCTCGAAAGTGGCGACAGTTTCACAGATCGCAGCCCCCCAGGGATGGCGAGGTCTAATTTGAGTCCGCGGTGGGTACCCACTGTGCTGGCCCCCCAGCAGGCCTCGAAAGTGGCGACCAGTTTCACAGATCGCAGTCTCCCAGGGATGGCGAGGTCTAATTTGAGTCCGCGGTGGGTACCCACTGTGCTGGGCCCCCCAGCAGGCCTCGAAAGTGGCGACAGTTTGACAGATCGCAGCCCCCCAGGGATGGCGAGGTCCAATTTGAATCCGCCGTGGGTACCCACTGTGCTGGGCCCCCCAGCAGGCCTCGAAAGTGGCGACAGTTTCACAGATCGCAGCCCCCCAGGGATGGCGAGGTCTAATTTGGGTCCGCCCGTGGCGTCACTGTGCTGGGCCCCCCAGCAGGCCTCGAAAGTGGCAACAGTTTCACAGATCGCAGCCCCCCAGGGATGGCGAGGTTCCCGCTGAGGTCCGCGGTGGGTACCCCACTGTGCTGGGCCCCCCAGCAGGCCTCGAAAGTGGCGACAGTTTCACAGATCGCAGCCCCCCCGGGATGGCGAGGTCTAATGTGGGTCCGCGCGTGGCGTCACTGTGCTGGGCCCCCCAGCAGGCCTCGAAAGTGGCGACAGTTTCACAGATCGCAGCCCCCAAGGGATGGCGAGGTCTAATTTGGGTCCGCCCGTGGCGTCGCTGTGCTGGGCTCCCCAGCAGGCCTCGAAAGTGGCGACAGTTTCACAGATCGCAGCCCCCCAGGGATGGCGAGGTCAAAGGCAGTGGGGAAGAGAGGGACGGGAGGGGGTGGGAAGGAGACGCGCGTGGGAAGGAGACGCGCGAGCAGTGCTCTATTCAAAACGAGAACCCAACGCAGGAGGGTTGGGAAAAACAAGATCACAGAAAAACACTGTTGTCTCACAACTCACCGCTGACCAGGCTGCGACCCGGCGGGGCGTCAATACGCCAAGGGCAAAGGACCGTGGGACACGAGCCTGAAGACATAGACACTGCACATCTGAGCAGAGATAGCCACAACACCTCTGCACGAAGAAAGACACGTGAAGGGTGACGATACCCCTGGCTGGGATGTAGAGATCTCCTCCCCGTCGTCGATCGGTCGATTGGTCGGGGCACGAGATTCGAAGCTCGGGGCTTCGTCGTGGACGGTCGACCGATCGAGGTTCGTCGTGGGCGGCCGCCCCTAGCAGCATCATCGCCACGGTGTCTTTCAGCGCGGTTCGGGAGCGTCGCTCGCGGCGGCTGCCCAGAGACCCCTGGAAACTGCACGCGGCATCACTGGAGGAGGAAGGCAACAGCGCGAGGAGGGCGGGGAAATGACCCTGGCGACGTACCCAACCCCTGCGCAAACACGGGGCGCAAATAGTTTAGGACACTTTATAAAGGGGGCGATGACGGAACGAGGGTTACATATGTCTGCAGACGGAATTCGGGACACTCGCAGGACACTGGCTACAGGACAAGGACTAGATAAAGCTGATTAGTTACAATCCCTGAGCAACCCTAGCCACTTCGAAGGCAGGGGGGGATCTCAGATCGCAGCCCCCCAGGGATGGCGAGGTCTAATTTGGGTCCGCGCGTGGCGACACTGTGCTGGGCCCCCCAGCAGGCCTCGAAAGTGGCAACAGTTTCACAGATCGCAGCCCCCCAGGGATGGCGAGGTCTAACTCGAATCTGCGTGTGGCGTCACTGTGCTGGGCCCCCCCAGGGATGGCGAGGTCTAATTTGAATCTGCGTGTGGCGTCACTGTGCTGGGCCCCCCAGCAGGCCTCGAAAGTGGCGACAGTTTCACAGATCGCAGCCTCCCAGGGACGGCGAGGTCTAATTTGAGTCCGCGGTGAGTACCCACTGTGCTGGGCCCCCAGCAGGCCTCGAAAGTGGCGACAGTTTCACAGATCGCAGCCCCCCAGGGACGGCGAGGTCTAATTTGAGTCCGCGGTGAGTACCCACTGTGCTGGGCCCCCCAGCAGGCACTTCAGTGGCGACAGTTTCGACAGATCGGCAAAGGGCCCCCCCAGGGACGGCGAAGGTCCTAATTTGTTTAACTACGGGGGGTATCCCCACTGTGCTGGGGAGCTCCCCAGCAGCCCTCGAAAGTGGCGACAGTTTCACAGATGCAGCCCCCCAAGGGATGGCGAGGGTCAACAAGGCAGGGGGAAGAGAAGGGACGGTAGGGGGTTGGAGGAAGGAGTCGCGCGAGCAGTGCTCTATTCAAAACGAGAACCCAACGCAGGAGGGTTGGGAAAAAGGAAGGAACGTGGAAGCAACCCCAAGGGAAGTTGGGGGGAGAGGCGGCGGCGGCGCGCAGGGAACGGCGGCAGGGAGGGCGAGGAGGGAGGTGGGAGGGAAAGGGGTGGAAGAGAGAGAGAGAGAGAGAGAGAGAGAGCGAGGACGGAGGGGAAGAGGGGGGATGGGGGGGGGGGGAGGGCAGGGAGAGCGAGGAGGGATGGGGGAGAGAAGGGGGGGAGGGGCGGAGGCGAGGGACCGAGCGAACGAACTCGGCCCAACGCCCTTCTGCCGCGCGCCCTGCAGGCGACCTGGGAGGCTCCAGCCCACGGGCAGCGGGGCATGCGGGCGGAATGGAAGCCCTGGACAATTCTGCCAGAGACGAGCCCCAGCACCAGATGCCAGACTTAGGCGCCGGACTAAGCGCTGGACGAAGGCGTGGGCCTTACGCGCTGGACGAACCGTACGAATGTGCCAGACTACCCGCCACCCTGATTCCTGGACTGCTATGGCAAACCAGTGCCCGCACTGGTGCCAGCAAAGTGGCAGAACTGCTGGATCCACTGGCTCGCCGAACTGACCCCCACTCTGATGTTGGGAAAACCGGATGGTACCAATGCCGCGACTCCCTGGGCCTCTCCCGGGGTGCCTTCTGGCCAGAATTTCAAAAAGAATCTGGCCGCGGCGACCAGGGACCTCCAGGACGAGCAGCGGTACCGGTGCCTCTTCCTGCTCCGAGAGATCACACGGGCGACGAGCCAAAACAGATCTTGCGCGAGATGGCACAGCGACCTTACGAGGCGGCTTGCGCGGGCCGCCGGCGCGGCGCGCTGCGCTGGACTCGAGGGCGGTCACGCGCGACCTCACGCGGGCAGCTTACGCGCCAGTGTCAGCGCAGACGACCCCGTTGTTGCCTGCGCCGCGCACACACCGCCGGACCAAGCGGCCAGGCGAGCATCCTCCAAGGACGCGAGGCCCACCGTCGGCCGACACGCACAGAGCACCCAGGGGGCGCCCCCCCCCCAGGATGCACGAGAGCATGCAGCAAACACGAGGGACATTGGTGACCACCTACCAAACCACCCCAACCCAACCCGAAGACCCGAATTTGACCCGAATTTCGGGTTGGGGGGGGTACCGGTTCCACGTGTTTTTTCGATGCTCCCCGACCCCCCCCCCACTGGAAATGGAGGGCAAATCGTGGCCTTCGGGTTGGGTTGGGGTGGTTTGGCGGGCGGTGAATTGGGGCACCCTCCCCCAAAAAACGGCCTCGATCTCAGACCTCGGTCCGACCGCAAGGACTACCATCACAACGCTGCTGCGGACGTCCGTGCGGCGGCCCCGGGCGGCCCGGGAGGGCACCGAGGCCGACGCCGCGAGCGGCGGCCGCCGCGCCCGGGAGGCGCGCCCCGCGGCCCCCCCCGGGGAGGCGCCCGTGACCCCGCGGGCCGCAGCGCCAGCTCGGGCGGCCCGACCTGCCGAAGGGCCGCGGAGGAGGCCGCCGCATATGCGCCCCGAGCTGAGCCGCTCCGACACGCAGCACGCAGCCCGCAGCGCGCCGACGCGGAGCCCAGCGCGGAGAGACGGAGCACCCCCCCCCCCCGGTGGCGCGGCACGACCGCCGCCACGCTGGGCCCACACGCGGAGCCAACGCGCGGCGGCGAGTTTCGCACGGACGCTCTGAACGCGGCACGCGTGGCGCTTCGGAGCGGGCGCATCGGGGCAGCTGAGGTCCCGATGCAACGGCAGGAAACAGACAGCGTCGTAAACATTCAAACCAAACTCCCTAAGGTTCGCGCGGGTGTCTCGCATCGGCGCATGGGGCCCCCTGGCGACGCCTCCGGCGCCGCCCCTGGCGCGCTCGGGAGGGAGGCCCAGCGCCGATGCGAAAAATCCGCGCGGCCTCAACGATTCCATGTTCCTGTCACTTTTTGTTCCCCTAAACAAGCCAGAGGAGCCCACTGGAAACCGTCGCAATCTGAAAAGCTCGTTTCGGCCGCCTGAAGATCGACCTTTGAGAAAAACGTGAGGAGTCCATGGAAGGATCCTGCCCTGGAAGGCTCGAGGACTGCGCAGACTGCGCAGGGCCCCCCGTTCTGAAAAGCGCAACAACCTCTGACAAGGCTCCATCCCCGCTCTGGAACAGCGCAGAGAATCCCAAATGGCATCCGAAATTGGAAGGCCCTAGAAGCCCCAATGCGGCCACGCGACGCGAAAAGCTCTGGAGCCTCAGAATCTCGGAAGCTTGCGATGTTCCCCGAGGGCATCGCATTCTAGAGTGCTCTGCGACTGGGCACGTCAGTCTGCAAGCGACTCGCTTGCACGCGCGAGACATCGGTCCATTGCACCTGTCGCGACCCCAGGCTGCTGGTGCGGACCCGGCGGCCCCGTTCCTGCCAATCGCCGCCCCGGTTGTCCCAATAGGAGGCCCGTGCGCGCCCCCAGCGGCCCCGTTCCCGCCCGTCGCCGCCGCCCCGTTCACCCCCCCCCGCCCTTCCCGTCGCATTGCCATCGCATTACGTTGGCATCGCATTGCAGTCGCATTACGTGGCATTGCAAGCGCACTGCATCACACTGGCTTGCACTGCTTCAAATCGCCCTGCACTGTAGTGCGCTGCTGTGCATTGCGTTGCGTTGCCCTGCGTTTCCCTGCACTGCGTCGCATTGCACTGCGTTGCGCTGCGTTGCATTGCGCCGCACTGCGTTACATTGCTGTGCATTGTTTTGCACCTAGATTGCACCAAACTGACCCTCCCTTACTAAAAAGAATTCGATTCTACCCCCCCTGGGATTATCCGAGCCCTTTCCGTATTACTATTCAAATATGGATCTGCCCTATCATCCATCCGAAATATGAATTCATACCATCCCAGGCAGGCCTGTATCGACACCCCCCCCCGTCATCAAAAAGCATAAGTTTCATCAAAACCCATCAGTTTCGAGTCCCTTGCAAAGAAAACAAAACGAAGTGCACACGCGCGCGTCGTCGCGGGCACATGCCGACATTGCTCAAAATCTTGACGTTTCGTAAAGATTTCAAAACCGAGTGTTCAAAAAAGGCAGCTGATGCGGCGGCTGCGGCGGTGGAGAGGCAAGGAACGCACGCATCGAAGGGAGGTGGGGGCCCTGGGGCTTGGTACTGGGCTTTCCCCATTTTCGGGCCAACTGGCCACATTGGGCCAGCGGCCCAAAAACATGGGACGAAGTGCACGCGCACGCGTCGTCGCGCGCGCGTGCCGGAATACGTCAAACAAACAAAAGATTTCGCAAAGAATTCAATACCGAACGTCCGGAACCATGTGAAAAACAAATGGTTGTGCAACATCAGGCTTCAAAAAAAAACCTGCGTTTGCGCTTTGGCGAAGCCTCAGGACAACCATCGGTTTGTCAATCTTGTCATAGAGTTCTGCCAAGCGGGCCTCTCGCGCCGCATGCCGAAATCATCATTCGAATGCCAGTGCGCGCGCGCTGGAGGGGCACGATCCGTGTCAAATGAAATCATGCGGCCACTATCGCGCGTCGGCCACGCGCGCATGTCGAACTCCTTGCGAAACCTTCATCACCGTCGCGAGGACGCCGTCACCGTCGTCGGCGTGATCAGCATCGGCGCCGTCACTGGCCGTGCCGTCGTCGCCGTCAGCATCGTCACCAGCATCGCTATTATCATCATCGTGTGTAACGTTGTCGGCGTTGCCATGATACCGCGCTTGCCCAAGTCGCCGATTCGAACTGAAGTGTCCGCTGGGATGTACCCAGCGGTCAGTGCCACCGCGGCCGCGTCGGTCGCGCCAAACTAGCTGGCCGCTGCGCGCGCGTGCATGTGCGGGCTGGCGCGGCCGCAGAGATGTACCAGCCAACGCCAAGCACTCATGGCAATCGCCGCCGCATGGGTTTTGCAAACCAAGTTGCAAGTGGGTGGGTGGGATATTTGTGCGACCAGTGGAGTGGACAACTCACTGCGAACAGAAATTATTGCACCACCTAGACAGCAACGCGTATATTGCAAGAAATCACTGTTTGGAGCACATGCTGGCTAACAATTACACGGCAGGTTCGTGTCGTGCCGACTTCGGCGTTGGTTTCTGACACCGAAGAAATCGTTCGATTTTGAACGATCGGTCAACATCGACCGATTCTGGGCCGTTAGCGGCGTTCAACGCTGAACGCCAGCGGCGGGGTCGCCGCCAGTCGACAAGACGCGAACCTAACGTACACCTTTAAACAAAAATCATAGACGGTGCCTGCAAGGCCGGACCGTCCCCGAAGGCTCCAAATTCGTACATCGAGGCTTTGTGAGCTCGTCGTCGACCGGTCGAGCTCCGCGGTTTCTCGTCGTCACGGCTGGATCCCCATGGAAGTGCAAGCCGGAACGCACCCCTGGAGAGGTCCACAAGGGGGCTTTGTTAAGGGTCGGCATACATGGCGGATTCCAGAAAACCCTGAACCCAAAAACGTCTTCACACCTTGGGGCACATCTTTTACTTCCGCCGCCCTCCGCCGACTTTCCGCCGGCTTCCGCCGGCTTCTGCCGGCGGAGGCGGCCTCGTTTTACTTCCGCCGACCTTCCGCCGCCTTCTGCCGAGGAAGAGAGGACAGCTCCTTCGATCCTCGAAGGCAAGGCTATTTGGAACACCCCAAGGATAGGAGCCCTGAGGGGAAGGTGTCGCGGACGATTTCCCCGCACTCGGACTCAGCTCCGAGCGTCCGTTTCGAACCCTGGGGCCGTTAGAAATTGGTCTGGGATGGAAGAGCTGCCTTGTCGCAGTCGCCGCCGAGGACGATGCATTCCCATCCTCTCTCCTGGAGGGGAGGGAGCCTGATTCTTCACGTCGGTCACGGCGCCCTTCTTCCGCCAGTCCACCTCGCAGGCTTCCCAGGATCGACGCGCCAAGAAGACCCCCCTCTGTCTCCCGCCTACCTCCCTGGATAAGGAGGAGGAGGGATGAGGCGGGATGAAGGAGGGAGGAGGGACGTTTCTGGCAAAAGGCAAAAGGAATGTGCGCTGGATCGTCCAACGTGGGCCAGAAGCAACAGTACACCCCGACTTAGGGGCAGGCGTGGTGGGACGGTGGCATGGACATGACCGTCATGGTTCAGCTTGTACAAAGAAGGCCAGTCCACAAGAAACCTTCCACAAGAAACCCAACCCTGAGACCCCAGGACATCCATTGAGTTTGGGTACGAGAGCGTCGCGCTTTCCAGAGCAAAACCATCGGAACACAAGAAACCCTGGGCACCCTGGAGGCAAGCAGGGTATTTCCTGGCATGGGCACTGTAACGGCTGGCCTCACTTACCTCTGAGAGGCAGAGCATCACACACACACACACACGATGCGTGCGAGCGAGTGGCTGGAAAGCTGACGCGACAAATGGAGCCGGCGACTCCACGGGGTCTTCCTCCCCTCCTACTCCGCCCCCCCCTCCTCCTGCAACGTTCCTCTCGTGCTCCACCCAACGTGGGGAAAGCAAAAGGTACTGCTACCGCTACTCCCTGGACCTCCCCCGGGGTTCGCTCTGACCAGAACTTCGAGGCGAACCCAGCGGTGGCGACGAGGGCCCCACCCAAGAGGCCCCAAAAAAGGAAAACGGACGAAGGGTAGCGGCATGGGTACACCTCTCCCTCCTCTGACCAGTGGGCAGCCCCGGACGGTAGGGCGGGGTGAGGCTGCTGCACTGGTGCGCCCCCAGCAGTGGCAGTCCGCCCTCCTCCCTTTCGTCCTCCCTCCCCTCCTCCTCCTCCTCCTCCTCCTCCTCCTCCTCCTCCTCCTACTCCTCCTCCTCCTCCTCCTCCTCCTCCTCCTCCTCTGTTTCTTCTTCTTATTAGTATTATTATTATTTTTCTTAGTCGTCTTATTATGTTTATTCTTCTTATTATTATTCGTATTCTTCGTATTCCGATGCATTATTATTCTTATTAGTAGCCTTCTTCGTATTCTTATTATGATTGTTACTAGTCTAGTATTCTTCGTATTATTATTAGTAGTATTATTATTAGTGTTATTATTCTTATCACGCTTAGTATTAGTATTCGCATGTTTCTTCTTAGTTTTATTATTATTACTATTGTTCGTATTAATACTCGTATTCTTAGTATTAGTAGTCTTATTATTATTCGTAGTCTTACAACTAGTGTTATGATTATTAATATTGTTATTATCATTAGCCGTATTATTATTAGTATTAATAGTATTATTATTATTATTATTATTATTATCATTATCATTATTATTCCTCCTCCTCCTCCTCCTCCTCCGCCTCCTCCTCCTCCTCCTCCTCCTCCGCCTCCTCCTCCTCCTTCTCCTCCTCCTCCTCCCCCCTCCTCCCTTTCGTCGTCCCTTTCGTCCTCCCTCCCCTCCTCCTTCGACGCTCCTCTCCTGCTCCCCCCCGACTGGGGCGCCTCGGCCGGCAGGGCGGTGAGGTTGCTGTACTCGTGCGCCCCCAGCATCGGCAGTCCGCTCTCGTTGCCCTGCCATGCACCCGCCGTGGGGAGGGCCGAGGCTCCCCAGCGCGGCGGCGGCGAGCCACCACGTCCTCCATCCTCCCTCCCCGCATCCCCCCTCCTCCTCCTACTCTCCCTCCTCCTCCTCCTCCTCCTCCTCCTCCTCCTCCTCCTCTCTCATCCTCATCCTCATCCTCCTTCCACCATCCTTATTGCCCTCCTCCTCTCCTCCTCCTCCTCCGCCTCCTGCCTTCCTCCTCCCTCCTCCTCTTCCTCCTCGATCTGATCGTCCCCCTCCTCCTCCTCCTCTCCTTCCCTCCTCTCTCCTCCTCCTCCCCCTCCTCCTCCTCCTCCTCCCTCCTCCTCCTCCTCCTCGCTCCCTCCTCCTCCTCCTCCTCCTCCCTCCTCCTCCTCCTCCTCCTCCTCCTCCTCCTCCTCCTCCTCCTCCGCCTTCTTATCCTCCTCATCCTCCTCCATTTTCTCCTCTATCTGATCCTCCCCTCTCCTCGCCTCCTGCCCCTCCTCCTCCCTCCTCCTCCTCCTCCTCCTCCTCCTCCTCCTCCTCGGATATCCTCCTCCTCGGATATCCTTCCGAACCTTTCCCTTCTCCTCCTCCCTCCGCCTCTCACTTCCTCCCTCCATCCTCCTCTGCCTCTACTTTCACATCACCATCCACCTCCTCCATCCACCATCCTTATGGATCACTCCTCCCTGTCGCACCGACCAAACGTTCGGGCGGATGGGGCGTTTTGCCTGAGACTGCTTCACAATGTGTGACCTCGCAGCTAGATGTTTCCAACAATTACACCGACGGAGAGCAGATAATGTTCATAATGGCGCTATCCCCGTGGCGCCGTTCACACTGGTATGTTTGTTGCCGAGTCGTACTCTTAGAGCGTCTCAAGTCCCCAAGAAAAATACTGCACGGTGCAACATGTCATGAAGTATGCCGACAAGGCATGCCCAATCCTTTTGCCTTCTGCCGTGAGTGCTGCACGCTCGCAAGGGAGTGGCTGTCACCTGTCACCCTCCCGGCGACTGAATGTAGGTAGCTGTCAGGTCTGGGCGTCCAACCTCTGCAATTCAGCTGAGGACAAAGAAGGCAGACCCCGAGACGGAAACGATTGCAGGCACGTGGTCCGCCTCCTGTCCATAAAATGTCGCAAGAATCCGCCGACCCGGTGTGGGCGTTCAGAAAAGCTACGACCTGAGCTTCATCTCTGCTGGGGGCGGGGGCCCGGGGGGGGGGCTCTGCCGGGGGAAGGGGGGGGGGTCTTTCATTTCCAGGGCAGCTCCCGCGCCGCAGGTAAAGGGGAAGGGGGGAAGGGGGGAAGGGGGGAATGGGGGGGTGGGCAGCAACGCCGCCAAGGCCACCAAGACGGCCCAAGCGAGCTCCTGCACGCCCAAGATGGCCCCAAGACGGACCAAGGGGCCCCAAGAGCGATCCGAGGGGACCCCGAAGAGGGCCCCAACAGGTAGACACTCCGCAAATTCCCATGGGTTGGTTGATGCTTCACATTCGCCATTTCGGACTTCCGACGCTCCGAGACGGCCCACGAGGGTCCCGAAGACCGCTCGAGGACAGCCCAAGAGGCCCCCAAAGAGGGCTGCCAAGACGGCCCAAGAAGGCCCGGAAACGGCGAGGCGCCCAATAGACGCCCCCAGGTGGGGAAACACGACCTGACAATTCGAGCCTTCCGCCCCTAGAGGTCCCCAGGAAGCCCAAGGAAGCCCCCAAGAGGCCCCCAAAAGGGCTCCCAGAAGACCCCCAAGAGGCACCAGGAGGCTCCCAAGAGGCCCACAAGAGGCCCCAGAATGGCCCTCAAGAGGCTTCACGGATGCCTCCAAGAGGCTCCCGAGAAGCTTCCAACGAGATCCCAACGAACCTCCAAAAAGCCTCAGACCCACACGGTGGCGGGATGAAGAGAAGGCCGCCAGGTCCGCCGCCCCCTGCTTGCAGGGGTGCACGGCGTGCTGGATGAGCTGTTAGGTTTTGGTTTTGGTTCTTTTTCCAAAAGAACTCCCCAGTGGGCTCCGGCAGAACCCGCCACCGTGCGCAAAAACGGCCGTTTCGCTCGGGACATCCTCAAACAATCGCGAAGATGGCCCAAGATGGCCTCCAAGTCCGCCCGAGATGGTCCAAGACGGCCTCCAAAACGGCCCAAGAGAGTCCAAGACGGCCCAAGACGGCCCAAGATGCCCCCCAGAGGCCTCCCAGACGGCCCAAGAGGCCTCCAAGAGGTCCTCCAGGAGAGTCCGAAGAGGGCAAAATCATTGATTTTCCTTTGGTTTTTGAAGGATTTTGGCATTGGCGCCTTTTCGGCTCTCCGACGGCTCAAGACGGCCCAAGAAGCCCCCAAGATCGCCCAAGAGGCCCCCAAGAGAGCCCCCTGATGGCCCAAGTGGCCTCCAAGATGGCCCCTAGAGGGCCCCAAGACGGCCCAAGAGGCCTCCAACACCCCCAAGATGGCCTCCAAGACGCCCAAGATGGCCTCCAAGACGGCCCTGGAGCGCCCCAAGAGGGTCCCCCGTTGGCCCAGACAGGCCCCCAAAACGGCTCCCGACGGCGTCAGACGTGCCAGGAACCCACCAAGATGGCCGAAGTTGGCTCGAAGCTGGCCCAAAAGGGCCCAAGAGGCCCCCCAGAGGGCCTCCAGGAAGGCCAAAAGATGCCAAAATCACTGATTTTCCCAAGGTTTTTGATGGATTTGGGCATTTCCCTTCTTTCGGCCTTCCGACGGCCCGAGACGGCCCAAGAGCCCCCAAAGATCGCCGAAAGATCGCCCAAGAGGCCTCCAAGACGGCGATGATGACCATCAAGACGCCCACGTGTTCCCCGAAGGCTTTCCAAACCGATTCGGGAACACATGGTCCGATGGCTTGGCAGGTCTGGCCTCAACGTTCGGCCACATAGGCGCTTCCACAAAGGCAGGGGGCGGCGGTGATTCGCCGTAGGCGTCTTCGATAAGAGAAGATAGAAATGACAGGAAGGAGCAGCAGAAGCAATTCACGGCACGACCCGCCCAACCACCCACCAATGAACCAACCCGTCCAGGAACTAGAGCCCGTTCGGAAAAGCCCCGGGCGATCATGGGCGTGACCGGCCCCGCCCCCCGCCACCCCTGATCAAGTCGCGGCGGTCGTCTGGTGGCAACCGCGGACGTCCTGTGGCGCTCGCAGGCTACTGTGGCGTTCAGAGGCATGTTGTTGTACTCACAGGGATGCTGTGGCACTCGCGAGGGAAAGCGGCACTTGCGTGCGTGCCGCGTGGTGCTTTCAGGGACGTAGTGTTCTTCTGTTCTGTTGCTGAGAGACATTGGCGCGGCGGTCGGAGCGCGGCGCTCGTAGCTGTCAGCGCTGTGGTGTACACGGGCACTGAATGCGCACACGGGCGTTGTGTAGTACGTGAACGTCGCGATGTTCAAAGTCGCCGTGGCGTGCGCAGGCACTGCGGGCTCAAATGCAGGGGGCCGTGTCCAGGGCAAGAGAAAAGGAGGACGAGGAGGAGAGGGGGGAGGAGGAGGAGGAGGAGGAGGAGCACGACGACGATTCCGATGACGACGATCACGACGACGCTGACGACGACGACGCTGTGTGAACGATATCAGGTTTCGAATGCATGTCTGTCGTGCCGTCAACAACACCCTGCCCGTCAAGATTTCACGCGGTCTCCCTCTCCTTCCCTCCCTCCCTCCCTCTTCCTCCTCCTCACCTGCTACCACTACGACGACTGATAGTAGTAGTAGTAGTAGTAGTAGTAGCAGTAGTAGCAGCAGTAGGAATAGTAGTAGTAGTAGTAGTAGTAGTAGTAGTAGTAGTAATAGTAGTAGTAGTAATATAGTAATAATA